CACCGCAAGGCGAACCACAGGGCCTTGAGAGGACTCCTGAACCTGGACTGTCGCCTAAGTCGACAGGAGATGCCAGGTGTTGTGCGATGGGCTCCTCAGAGCTGCCTGTGGGCCACATCACTCTAAGTTAGATAAGGCAGGTGGAATGCGGGCCACCGGACTGCGTGGAGACTCACCTTTCTGGACACTGCTAGAAGCTTCAAAGTAGGAAGTGAGGATAGCCCCCTTTCTACTAGGCTAGCCTGCTCACCTGGCCTACTTTCTTCTATTAATTTTAGTTACTTAAACACACACATAGGCTCAAGCCCAACCAGACTACCGACTTATTAAGCAATGGACTATTCATCTTGGAGTCCCCCGCTGTGTCCAACACCAGGCCCTGCAGACTGTGAGGCTGACAAAAAGCTTGCAACGCCGAGCTCTTACACGGCAGCGTCTAAATCTGCTTCTCACCTAAAATATACCGGCATCAGGTGCTCCTCCTAATTACACACGCATAAGCTCTGAGCTAGATTAATTACTCCCGTATTTGTCACAACAGTGAAAAACTCGAGGAACTTACACCGTCAGCGAGAACCGAGCTAACCCCAATTGGAGTGGGTAGGGAGAGTTGGCTTAAACACTCAGAGCAACCCTACAGATGGATTGTTTCAAATGCTAAAAAGAAAAGACATAACAGAACCTAAGTGCCAAAGGTTACTTGGGCTGAAACATTGTTTTGAAGAAAGAGAAACCAGGATGCTATAGGTAAAGAGAATCATTAGTCACCTTCTAATGTGACCACCCAATGAAGATTTAATTTGTCTCTTATAGCGACACCATTACACAGTACAACCAAGTCTTCAGTGTATTTAAAAACATAAGTAACAGGGTATCTGACTTGCAAATATGGTCTTCGTCCTCAAATTCAGATCAAGCGCTCAAAGTCTTCACATGACAGAATTTCAACTAAGGAGCTGGATTCACTTGCAGTATTTCCAAATCATTTTCATTCTATATCACACAATCCGTTGCTAAATTTGCTTAGGTTTGAAAAACAAGTCTATGCAACCTCAAAGCTCAGGATTTGCACCACCTAAAGAAAAGACTGCACTAAAAAGGGGAGGAAATGACTCCCTAGCAACCCCTTGCTTCAAAATAAAAATACAGTCCTGGGAAGAAACTAGCCTGCAAATCAAAGCAGGCTCATTGGAGAATTTTCACACCTTATTTATAGTTTTCCTGACTTAAGGTTCTCATCTTGGGTAATCTCTACAATTTCTCATCACTTTCCTAGTTCCCCATAAATCAGCCGTATAAAAATAGGAAGATAAGTGGGTTTCTGACTAAGTGGTCTCATATTCAGTTTCCTTTTGATAAACAGCTCCCAATAAATTTCAGAATGAGATTTTTGCTTTTAGCACTTTATAGCTTTGAGGTTTTAAATGTGACTGAAAGTTATTCTAGGGCATGAAAGTGTTAAGTGATCATTTTATTACTGTTTAAAGCCACTAGGGTATGCAAGTAATTAGCAAATATAATAGTCTCCACCTATAGAAATCAGTTCTCACCAGAGATGCTTGATCACAACCCAGATAGCAGAAAATAGATTTCAAAAAACATAGATTGCATTAAACAAAATATCTAATAAAGGCTATTTTTATTATTTCTAGATAAATTGCTTGGAACTTAGAGCATCTTCTCACTGCGAGAATTAAAAACAAATTAAATTCCCATATCATCCCACTTAATAGAAATTGTATGCCCACGGTTTCATTTATGCTTATTTGAAAACAACAAGACACATGTTGAAGGCTTTATAAACAGGCCCCATGCTCTTCTCACGATCATAGAAAGATCTTTCGCTTGACACAAACACAGCCGAAATCTTAGGGCTAAATTAAAACTCAAGAGTGAAATAAGGCTTTTTATTTCCTTGTCTCCCTGTCATCCAAAACGATCTTCTTTCCCAAACCCGGAGATCTCTAATGATTAAATTTAAAAAGAAATGTCTTAACCTTTTCTGTTTCCAAGGCAAAGGAGTATTTGTCTGCAGAGTTAACTTAGTAGAGTCAACACCCATTTGCGCCATTCGGTCTTAATATCTGCATGAGCAACACGGCTTAGTTATTACTTAATTACCTCTATTTTTTCTGGTGCTGTTAGCAAGACAGAAGCAACCAAGGATCCTGCAGATGCCCCAGCAAAGGCCTTAACACGGTTCAGGAGCTTTGCACCATGTGTGCAAAAAGCCGATGCTGCCCCCAAGTGGTAAATGCCCAGAAACCCACATGCTGCAAACGACAAATTGATGTGCTTCATTCCAGCTGCGGATGGCAACACAGAAAAGAAAAATGCCGTCAATTGGTATGGTTTAATCCTCATACTGTGTAGTCTTCTGCCAGTCGTTAACGTATAATTCCCTGTTTTAAGCACAGTCATTCCAATGAATTCTAATTAAACTTTCAAGAAAAGGTCCCTTTCTCCTTCTCACCTTGACCCCCTAGTCTTATTACTCAAAAAACACTTTCCACCTCACATATTTCTTCAATACATAGATTATGCAATCTACTACTTAATTACTTGGCGAGAAACAGATGTGTGAATTCCAGCTGGCAAAGGCATTTGGTCTTTCTTCTAGAAACTTTCTGAGGGGTGAGGGGGGGCAGTTACAATGGTGGGAAGAGAAAATGGGAGACCCTAACAAATTCCAAATGAACAAAGCATTTGCTTTCTATGAGTGCATCAAGTCAAGTTCAAATACAGGTCCCTACTCCCTTTTCCCACTGCCACTGTGAGGGTCCATGTTTTTAAAAGCACGGGAGACCCATCACACTCAATAATGCATTAAGCAATTATGTAACCATGCCACGTATTTCTTCACCAAAGATCTCAAGACAAGCAGAGACCATGACTCCCCATGGCAACTGAAGGAGCCATAAAACGTCATTCCTGTCACTTAATACTTAGCACATATCTAAATATAAAAGTGTATGCTGGGACCAGCTAGGTGGTGTGAAGGTTAAGGGGGCTGGATCCCACAAGGCAAACTGGGTGATTAGAGGAGGTTACAGTCCCGGATCTAGCAGCTTGAAAAGCAAATCCGAAATGAGAGGAAGGAGGCAAAGGGGGGGTGCCCACTCCCCAAATCCCAGAGAATGGAATGAGAGGAAGGAGGTAAAGGGGGGGGGGTGCCCACTCCCCAAATCCCAGAGAATGGAAAAGGGACTGCGGTATGGTCATTTCCCCCTGGGGGGGGGGGGAGCGAAGGGGCTTTCTTTCTCTCTCCCACTGTCTTGGATGAATGCACACACCCAATAGCAAATTTAAAAAAAAAAAGCGTGTTTTTCCATGCCTCGGTGTGCACGCTTTCCCACATGAATGAAAGGAGGTCTCCACAATACTGCTTACTCTGAGGACATCAAGCTTTCCTCAGGGACCCAAAGGTTCCTTTGGAAGGAACCAGACCGGGCCCTGTTCAAAGGGCTGATTAGCCGTTGCAGGCTGCGCCGGGGTTCAGGGAGAGAGAACGAGGTCCCCGCGCCCAGCCCGGGTTTTCATTTCATTTCTACATTTGGAGGCGGGGAAGCGTCCGGTGTTCGGTTTGCAGGAGGCTGGCCAGGCCAAACAAAGCCAGTCTGGGGCCTGCTGGGGACCTGCTGGGTGTCTGCTGGGGGCCTGCTGGGGGCCTGGGGAGAGGATTACAGGTGCACCAGTGCCCACCACCGCCCCCGCAACCTCGCAACCAGCAGCCCTAACGGTCCCGCCCGCCCTGGCTGGGCCCAGACGCTGGGTCGTACCACCGCCGGCCTGGGGCATTTCCGCGTTGAACGCTCACCACGTCGCCCTTAGCTAGGGGCGGGGCTGGGCCGTCACTCAACGCGGCCCCGCCCTAGAGGGCTGGGCCACACTCACCCTGCGCCCGCCCAGGAAGGTCCTGCGGCAGTGGCTCCGGCCGCCTCCCAGCGCGGATCTGTGACGTCATCGCGCCGCCGCGGGGGCATGACCTAGCCAGACTCCGCCTACTCTATTTAAATCGCAGGACTCAACATGGCGGTGTCCGCTCGGTGTCTGGGCCCCTCCACCGGAGTGTTTCCGAGCATGGGCGAGGCACCAGGCTCTCGTCTAGAGGCTCGCTATCGTCAGATACTTAAAGGAGTCAATTTAATCCCAGTGTGCCCTTTAGCACGGCCCCGCGGGACTAGCCTTGACCTGCCGGCCTACTGACCTTTAACGACCCTCATCCGCTATGCTCCGGAAGTGCTTCCCACCCCTGGGGGGGTGGAGCCTGTTTCCAGGAAGTGGCTTCTTTTGTTTAGCCGCCCTTGCGCCCTCTGCCGCTTGAAGTAGTTGAGCTTTCTGTGACGCAGGCGGTAGGCGGAGGCTTGGTCTGGGCGTGTTACCCGGCTGTGCAGGCTCCTCCGAAGAATGGGATGATAGAACCCGAGCGTTTGAGCGCCGCCATGAAAAGCCTATGGCACAGAGACAGCCCTCTGCCTGTGGGGTCCTTAACGGAACAGACTTTAGAAGCAATTTCCGTGGTGGCCAAGATGCCTGACTTCGCCCCCCCCGAATTCGAAGGACTCCCAGTTCTTTCCCTCCCCAAGTAATGTCCTCTATGTCTCATCCTAAGAACCGAGCCCGGAGGAGTTTCGGACTTCGTTACTCAAGGTTCTCTAGCTGCCCTGGTTTAAGAACGGACCTTAAGCAAAAGGAGGAGAGATGAGAGTGCCCAGACTACCTTGGCCTTGGGCTTTTTCTCTCAGCCCATTTGAGTGTGTCAGACCCACAGCACCTTTCCTAAGCAAGAGCCTTTGATATGACGACTTAGCGTGACACTTTGTTTCTAACTGGTCAGCGAATCTGGAAGACGCCTTCCTGCCTGAGTATAGCGCAACGACATTGCTGAGGATTCGTTACTTCCGCCAGAATTTAGTGAGATCCGCATCAGGTGAATTCAGCCCCTCAGGCCTTCCACCGTCCTCTCTCTTTGTGGTTGGGTGTGACCTGCTTGGAGCAGCATTTTCCAGAAAGATTGTAGAAAGGAGGAGTCCCAGATCTCTCAATCAGTCTGCATTTAACAGAATTCCCAGGCACTGGTCTAACTCCTGTGGTGCTGTTGGGGTGTGACTATTGGTATACCACCAAAGCGGCGCTGCTATGATCTGAATGTTCGTCCTTAACCCACACATAATTCTTAAAAAGAAAAAAATCCTCACCCACAATATGATGATATTAGCATGAAGGGCCTTTGGGAAATCATTAAGTCTGGAGGTTATAGCTGTCATGAACGGGATTGTTACTGTTAGGAAAAGGACTAAATTGAGCTATCTTTCCAAGTAGAGATGCAATTATAAGAGCAGTTTACAACCTGGCAGAGGGTCTTTACCCGAACCCAACCATGTTGGCATCCTGATCTCAAGACTTCTAACCTCAGCGATGTCAATGAACGTTGTTTATAAGCCACCCCATGTGTGATAGTGTGTTATATATAGCAGGCCAAATGACTGAAGATGGTTGATCTGGTGTAAAGTGACACAGTAGCATCAAAAGATTAAGGAGAGGTTAGAGCTACAGAACCAGAATCTGGGGTGGTATTGGCAGAACAAGTATCTTCTGCTGTTTGGACATCATGGATTGTTTCAGAAGACGAATGAAAACTATCACTAGGCAGTCTGAATGAACAGCACGAGGTTGGACTCCTTCACTTCAGTGAAAGATAAAACCATCTACTTTCACCACACCTGGATGGCAGCGATCCCATCATATGTAAGTCTCGGAGTGCCAAAGTGCTCTAAATTGTACTCTTAAAAGTTGAAACTTGCTCTCTTCTACCCCACATCATATTTCCATGTAGCTAGTCAAAAATTTCATCAGTGAGATGAAATGTAAGATGAAAATTACATTCACTCCCATTTGTCTTTATCAGCTCAGCACCAAGAATAGCATTTGGCACGTAGTATGCAATCAATACATATTTGTTCTGGATGTTGGATTTAGGTAAGTTAACGTGATTTGAGTATATTGTAATTTAATTGCCCATTAAAACATCTTTCAGGAATTAATTTGCCTTTTTTTTTTTTTTTTTTTGCTTTTCTGCTTTTCATAGTAATTTAGTTTTGAACTGGTTTATTCATTTGCCACTTATCATAATTATTAAGCATCTGTTCTATGGCAAGTGTTGGGTGGTACAGGGTATACAAAGTCAATGAGAATTTGGCCTTTAGCATCAGAGATTCAGAGTCTAGCAGGCAGGGAGACTTTGGATGTGTAATTGCAGAAGTGTAACCAGGTGCTTGTGCAAAGCTGTGCCTAGCTGCCCTATCCAGGGAATGTACACACTGAGTTGTAGAGTAGCAGTAGCTCTGGCAGCCACCTGCAATCACACCTGCACTTAAAGTGCCCAAGCCTGCTGGCTCTTTTCCTGTCCTGACTTTTCTCCCATACAATTTCATCCTGTATTCCCACAAGGAAGGAGAAAAGTACTTGGATAAGGGATGTTTGTCCAGTGGACAGGCCCTTACTTCACAATCTTGGAGACGAATGTTCTCCTCCAGTCTGCTCTCCTTGTGTGATTTCGACTGTTGGCCTCTCAACACCTTAGGAGCTCTGTTGGGCATGTGGTCATGGCCTTATCCTCCCTCCTGCTTTCGAACTGCTCATCCTGGCCATCTCCTCTCAAAATGAACAGTACCGTGATCTTAATGAACTGTCTAGATTGGATGCATGCACTTGAATTTCAGGGAAATGTGACGACGTCATTGGAGAGCCCAGTACTGCCTTTTCTATGGAGCATCCAGGTCATAACTCACATGGACATGTTCTCTGTGCCTAGTTTAGGTGATGTCTTACCTGCAGACCACCCTGGAGTCCAGAGAAAGGGACTTTTGCAATCATGGGGTAGAATCAGATTGCCACCTCTAAAGAGAAAATGAGGGAATAGGGACAACAGGTAGTCAGTCAATGGAGGGTTTCAGCCTTTATATAAAGGCAGTTAAAAAGGAATCAGAGCTGAGAATAAGGAAAGGGGGTGAAGAGAGAGAGAGAGAGGAAGAGAAAGAGAAAGAGAGACAGGCCTAAGTGTGATGTCAATTCTTGAATCAGTGGATACAAATAGAATATTTTACATTGACCTGAAAAGTAGAGATTTTTATGAATGTTTCTCCTGTTGTATTAGTGTTTCTAAGTACAGTGTTTACAGTTGATGTTCTAGATCATTGTAAGAAAGAGCAGGTAAACTTTCATACTTAAGCTATATATGTTTTGTAGGAAACAGGTTCAGATCCTTGGTAGCCAAGTAGTGAGGCTGGGGTACTACATGCATTACAGAATTCTAAATATCTTTTAAACTTCCACCCAAAGAAAGTCTTTGTTCTATACTCTGTTGCAAAACAGATGTACCCTTGATATGCTGTTTATGAACAGACATCAATAGTCCTTGCTATCCTTCAAAGAATTTTCTTACAGATAGAGGACAGTGGAGGGGAAATAATATCAATGTCAAATAAATGATATTGTTGGGTGAGAAACAGATGGACAGCTTCAATGCCTTATGCTTCACCGAATTTGCCAAATACTCTTTTAATTTGGAGTACAGAATCAAATCATTACTGGGGCTGTTATCAAAAGAAACATTCTAATTACTAAAACATCCAATTATCTAATCACCTCATTTCAAAGAGACTAAATAAGGATTCCAATGTATTTTGGTTTTTGCAACATACCTTGCTTTCTTGAACATCTAGCTATTTAATAGAATCTTATTATGAATCATTACTGCAGTTACTGTCTGCTCACTCCATGCTAGTTTTTCATACAGTTTCTTGTATAACTGTTACAACAATGATACAAGGTACAGCTAGATGATAGATGAGAACTTAGAGTTAAAATAATTTTACCACCCGGCAGATGGCGTAATGGCTACATCACTGGACTCCCACATAGTCAACCACAGTTGGAGCCCCGGACCCGGTGGCTTAATCTCAGGCTGGCTGCCTGTGCGTGCGTGCGTGCCCAAGATCTGGGGAGGACAGTGGAGGAGAAGGGATTGCAGCATGGCCATCCCCCCGGGGGGTGATTTCTCACTTTCAGTCTCTCTGTCTCTCTCTGTCTTTCTGGCGAGTGCACGCGCCCTATAGCAAAAACCTCTCCAAAAAAGAATTAAGAAATCGTAAACTGGGGCCAGCAGGTCATGTGGTGGTTAGGGCTCTGCACACCTACATGGCAGACAGTACGCAGTTTGAGTTCCAGACCTGGCAGCTTGCTCTCTCACTTTCTCTCTCTCTCGCTCTCTCTCTTTTTTTTTTTGAGAGGTTTTTTCGCTATAGGGCGCGTGCGCTCGCCAGACAGACAGAGAGAGACATAGAGACAGAAGGCGAGAAATCACCCCCCAGGGGGGATGGTCACGCCGCAATCCCTTCTCCTCCATTCTCCTCTCGGGATCTTGGGCACGCATGCACACGCGCCCGGTGTGAGTTTAAGCCACCGGGTCCGGGACGTGAACCGCGGTCGACTACGTGGGAGTCCAGCAACATAGCCATTACGCTAACTGCTGGTTCCCTCTCTCTCGCTCTCTGATGAGCATGCATTCCCTATAGCAAATTAAATAACAATAATATTAATAAATTAAATTATTAATTCTTTTTTAAAAATAGTCAACTTTTGGAGTCAGCAAGTAACATGGTGGTTAAGGCACTAGACTCCTACACGGCAGCCTGCGGTTCAATTTCCAGATAAGGAGGCTTGAAAATCACATGTCCGTGCATGCTCAAAATCCCAGGAGTAGAACGGGGGAGATGGGGTTTCAATATGGCCATCCACTCTGGGGAGTGATTTCTCACTTCCTCTCTCACTGCCTATCTCTGTCAATTGCATGAACCTTATGCCGAAAACCTTAAAGAAAAAAAAGAAGAAGTAATAAGCTTTTATTGTGTGCCAAACACGGTGTTATGTAGTTACTGTGAGTCAGACTCTGACTTCCTTTCATTCTTTCTCTGGTTGGAACTTGTCATTGGTGTTCATACTCAGATACCTTAAATTGTATAAAAAATGGTGAATGTTCTTAATCAACGTGACATATACATTTATTTACTCAGAGCGTGTAGAGAACTTTTTCACATCTGATAAGAAAAATAAAATCCAGCCTAGCAATTAATTAAAGCTACCCTTTCCATTGATTAATTATAACAGTAACTCTTTTTGATGAC